CTGACCTCTGCTAGAAAGAAGGGGCATACAGAATGTCTTGCTCTCTCTGCTAGTCTACCTGAGAAGTGTTTATTTCCTTCATTAAGGATGCTTCTGGAAGGAAACACTTCATCTTCCCCCATCCACTCTTTTCCTTCACTCACCCTTTCCTTTAAAACTGGTAACTTTGAAAATACCAGTGTTCTGTCTGATCTGACCTGGACTAATTTTCTTGGACATCAGTTCTTCTAACTTCTAGATGCCAGATACCATCGTCTGAAAGGGAAGTGTCCAACATACAAATGTGAAATATAAATAATAGAAGGAAACCCTACCTTAAGCTTTTGATGACAAACCCTTGAAATATAAACAAACATTTTTAAACAGCCTGAAAACGCTCAGAATTACCATGTGCTGCTCAGCACAACTATTATTTTCTTTGACCCCAGTGTAGTTTTGACCTCACTGAAAGCTCCTTATCTTAATACTCCCACTGCAGTTTCCCTTCCCTTCCTTAGCCGCTTTATGGCTTCCTGAAAACAACTCATACTGTTCAATGAACAGTGTCGACACCAACTACAGGTCCAACAGGAACACACAAGAAATGCTTTAGAAGTTTGTGCCAGCTTGAAGGAATGCAATATACCCACAAAAAAGGGAAGGTATTTAATACAAATCTTCCTCCGAGACAGCTCAACTATTCCCTAAGAAAAAACAAAGTGGTATCTCTGATGCTGCTGCAGTCTGCTGCCTAGATTATCCCTCCAGCAAACTTAAGAACAGATAAAGCATTACAAAAATTAGCTGATACAGCAATCACTACCTATTTTCTAGATTTGCTACTGTACAGCTGTTATCTCCTCAATGGCAGAGGTTTTAACCAAAACCAACCTCTTGGGCAACCAACCAGCTCCAAACTATACATGTAAGTATTGAAAACGATCACAAAAAAGCTAATTATTATAGCTAAACAATGCAGTTTAAAAAATGCAAGTTAAAAATAAGATTGGAAAAGAACCACCTAACAGGTACAAAGGAATGTGCCTAGAGTTAATGGGAATATAAACCAGGAACAGAATATTCATACTTCAGAATGAAAAAAGTACCTTTGGCAAAGTATATTCGAAAGGTCTGTGGAAAGGACTATCACTTAGTGTGAGTTACAACGGTCTCACCCAACTGTAAGGCTGGTGAGATCAAATACTCATCAAATACCCATCAAATAAGTACCTATTTGCCACGGGGTTTCTTGAGAGGATTGTGTCTTGGGGGTTTCCTGAGTCAGTGAGGTAATACTACCAAAGTATTACTAGAATATTTAGTACGGATAACAATAGTCACTAAAAAATAATAAAATGAGCAAGCCTCCTACTTTGTTAATCAACACAGATCATTTGCCTTCAGAGCTGCAACTGCTTCTTTCAGTTAAGAATCCTGGCCTGTATCCCAGGGCTCCGCTATCTGGAGTTTAAAACCTTGGATACAAACTATTTCCCAGCCACCACAGGAGATCCAACACAATAAAGGTTTTGGGTCTTCTTCACGACCTATTTCAGTACCTACCTACTACTGCCTATTACACAAAAAGCTCTCCACAAACCATAAACTGAACATATATGCACTGCATTGGCAAAAGCAGTAGCTGGAAACTGCCAAGTTGTGAGATGAGAAGACTTCAGGGCACTCAGACTCAAACTAACCTCAAGCTTGACTTAACTCTGTTAGAAGCTTATAAAACACAGATGTAAATTGCTGCATTATCAACATTCCGGTAAGAAAAGCCATCCTGTAGCATGTTCCCCAGACATTTTAATACTGTAACTGCATAAAAATCAGAAACTTAAATAGCTGAAAAATAAAGAGGAAACCTGGTTTTATCATTTACTGAGCAAATGCAAAGTAGTAGAATCTACAGTAGCTTCTTACTGTGGATTATTTCCAACATTTTAAGGTTTCTTAAGTAATTACTATTATGTACCCCTTATCCCAAGATGTTTCAACAAGCACATGGCTTTTACCTTCCTATTAGGTGGGATGAATGCCAACACAGAAGTGTCTCTGCCAGAGAGAAGTGAACAACAAGATTGTGCAGATCAATCCAAGACTGATATCACCTACATTGATAATTAAATTTTACTCCATTTCTTCAGATTAAACCTTTTGTCCTACTGAACTACTGCAGAACTAAAACCCTAATCTCATGCCCTGCTCCCAAAGTCGTTACGCCAAGCACTAGCAACGGTTGACACTACTGAGGATTTCTGGGGCTTCCTCCTTCCATTTCCTGGGTTTTCCTCCCTCCTGCTCCTGCATTGCTTGGTCCATTCTCCAAAACTCCGTCCCACAAATCGCACTAAGAACCTTCTCCAGGATGACTCTACCAGCCTATTTTCTAAACACGATCTGCCTTCTGTTCTCCAAATACCATTCCCTCATCATTTCCCATTTCCACGTTTCTCTGTTCAAAGGGGTCTCCCTTTTGAGCTGTGATCGTTTACCCACTAAAAACACACCACTTCCTCGGCCGAGAAAGCTCCTATTACTGAGTTACTTAGGCAATCAGGACATAGTTTCCACAGGAAAGGGCCTGGGATACTGAACTAAACCCACCCAGCTCCTGGAGTTCTTAAACGATTGCACTCGCTGTCCTCTCATCCCACTCTGGCTTCCATGAGGTATTCCTTTGCTGGTGAGAGCTCCTTACTCACCCCCAGGAACCGCAGTCTCACTGCTCAGGCGTGCAGCGGCTTGCAGTCACTTCCCAAACACAAAGCAGGTGACCCTCCCGCAGCCAGCCCCCCAGCTGCTTGCTTTCAGCTTTAATGCCAGACCCCAGCTGCCGTCAGCCGGCCACCGACGGAGGAGACTTCGTCCTCATGGATCGCACCGTGCGGAACACCGACCTTCACCTAAGCAGTTTTCCCATTTAGTTTCATTTTTCTCTCTCAAAGGTCGGAGGGGGAAAAAAAAAAAATAAAATCACATCGAGATGGTAAAGCAAAAATTTTTCTACAAACTAGGAATTTGGATTGTCATTTCTTTCTGGCATATATGTTTTCAGCATACAAAATTGATAAACCAATAAAAACAATATTACTACTGTCCTTTAAAGGGAAGTTTCTTTGGAATAACATAAACAGCATCAGAAGGGCAAACCAGTAGTCCTGAGCTACACTTTGATTGGGAAATAATGCGTATCATAGAAGCAACATGCCCTGCCCTTGGCAGCAGCTTCCCTTCTGAACGGCTACTATTGTAATCGTGATCAGCACGTTAATTATTCACCAGAATCCAAAATCTACCCGCTGGCAATTATTACGTCCCACTCACGTGCACTAGAACAAATGATGTATTTTGAAATGACCCATTAATTAATGTGCATCAAACTGTACACTCATGAAAAAAATACATTCTGCTTTTACCATTAAAAGGTGAATTTCAAATGATGGAGCAGTATTACTCATTCTGCATCGCTTTCTGCATCTGCTGCCGCATGATGCATCTCCTCAAAGACTACAACCCAAATGACTTGGGCCTACCAGTCAATTATTGAGAAGATGCCAACACCCCCCAGAGGAAGTAACCTCCTCAAATATCCTTCAGAATTTGAGCAAGCACAGCCTAGTGAGAAAGATCACAAATTCTGAAGAAGTAGTCTCTCACCACATGGTTCTAACCGCTAATTTAGAATACTGGCAAAAAAAAAAAAAAAATCAGTCTGAACTGACCTGAACTAACTGGAGTTTCAAATCATACAGCCTTTCGAAGATTTTAGTCTTTCAACCTTATTTAGAACATTTATTAACATTCTCTGGGAAAAACGATGACATTTGCCATTCATTACAACATGATTCACTGCATGAGGTGATTCATCCTGTAGGGCGATTCTCTATGTGTTGTTAAATGATCAGGAATGCTAAAAATGTGAATTTTAGAATCAAAAATGTTAAGACTTGAGGGAGAAGTTGCAAGAGGGTAAGCTTAGACTAACACCCTAGAAGATTTTTGAGACAAATCTCAAGTCAAATAAACTGAATATTCGTTAGAAGTCCTCGAGCTCCAGTAATCAGCATGGTCCAAAGAGATGAAGAAATCAAGCTATCACTGAAAGTTTATTGAATCCCAAAGAATAAAAAAGTATCCAGTTCTGGTATAAATACCTTATTCCCACCAAATCCACACACAAAGTGGAAGCAGTGCCACCTGGAAAGGGCATACAAATATGCAGGCCAGGACTCATCATGTCATACCAGTAAGAGGAACAGCTGCTGCCCAACTTAACAACCGAGCCCGTTACAAATTCTGATCTACATCCAACACGCTGTTGCCATGCTGAGCGTAGCCAGAGCTGTACCTCTCCTCAGGAAACACTCTGGTTTTTAACATCTTGGTCATGTAACACTAAATTGGGTAAGTAAATAAGTATTAAGCCAACCTTAAGAAAAACACACCAGTTTTTGCCAGTTCCCATCCAAGCCCTCCAAACTCACGACCGGGCACCACTGTGCTTTCACTCAATGGCACCGAGGTGAGATTTTCCTCCCTGGGTCAGGGCCAGTAGAAGTCCTATTTAGTGGAAGACTAGGTTTTATTTTCATTGTTTAAAAATCTCTACATCATGAGCTCATCATCTCTGCTCTAGGATTCTACAGGATTTGGGAACAGCTCTAAATCTGGGGGCTAGCAGGAGGCCTTGCAGCCTTTTAGCTAACACACCTTTTCCTTTGGGACTCAGGGCTACTTCAGCTCCAGAGCAAGCCCCAGGGAACTGCACCAGCACACTTTATGCTCTCCTGCTAGGGTACAACTACCCTGCACCCACAGACATCTCACAAACAAAAATCGGGAGTGTATTTCAGGTAGCTTAACTTCTAACAATATAAAATATTCTTGGTAGTTACAATGCAAACCGTTAGACAAAAAACATTCACAAGGTTTTCAGACCAGGAAAAAAAACCGAAAGAAACAAACAAATCCAAGGACAATACAAGTCACTGGATGTCTCCAATGTGCTCCATCCTTCAGGACTCTTCCTCCTCCCCTTCATCGTCTACTTTAGGGCGGAAATTTTTCCTATTCTTCTTCTTACTGCAATGGAATCCAACTGTTTCCACGGATGGCTCTTCACCTGCACCACTAAACCTTGCACTCAGCTCACCTTCTGTATTCAAGTCCCCTGCCATCATGCACTCCTCCTCCTCCGTTGTCTTTCCAATTCCACTATCTAAATGTCCCAGCTCGACCTTATCTTCCTCCCTCAAGTCATCAGCCTTCTTAAGAGGTTTTCCTTTCAGCTCTGCTTTCATGTGTTTCTTACCATCCTCCCCTGCTGATGTTTTCTTTTCCAGTTCATCAACACCTCTTTTTATTGGTTTGGAGAACACAATTCTCCCAGCTCCACAGCTGGAAGGGTCCTGGTTGAAGTATGGGATGTAGTTATCTTGGGAAGCTGAGCTTTGTTCTTCCCCTCTTTTCTTCAAACCCTCTAGAAACTCCATGGCCACTGCCCTGTTAGTCTTGTCAGTAGATTCTGAAACTCCCTCCAGGCTGTATTTGGTCCAGCGCTCTGGGTGTGCCACATAGTCCGGCACTGCAGGAGAGGTTTTGGGAGCCTGCACTGGTTTGACTTGCTTTCCCAGGCTTTCTGGAACCACATTACTTGAAACTGTGGCTGGAGGCAATGGACGCTTAAACCTCCCATCAACAATATTATCCTCAGGCATTGAGGGCACAGACAACTTGGCCGCCTCTTCCAGGCAATCAAAAATGCTCTGGCTGCGGAGAGAGAAGGTAGAACTCATGCCCCTCAGATGGAACGGCTGGACAGGAGGAGCTCTCTGACTGCTGTTCGAAGATTCGGGGGTCTCCGCTGATCTGTAATCCCCATCATCTACAGATGGCTCCTCAGGAGATATTGTATCAACTTCCGCTTCATCCGCTAACCCCAAATCATCGGAATCAGAATCGCTGAGCGACACTGTGTCTGAGGGCAGAGCTCCTTCGTAGTCTGTGGCACCGCCAGCCACTATCCCCAAAAAGGGGTGACCTCTGTCCTGATCTTCCATCTTCAGGCTACTGCTCCACTGAGGTCTTTGACGCAGACCCAGGAATCGCTCTGATTATGGTTTTCCAAATGCCCAGCAAGTTTAGTGCCTAGAACACAAAGAGGCATAAAAATTCAACTATGAATGAGGACCAAATAGGAGACTATAATTCTGTGCCATGCAAGATAATTAGTACTGCAATATCACAGGCAGCTGTACTTCAGGGATTCCTAAGCAATTTTGCTTGAAATAAATACATTATTTCAGGAATGAATGCACATTAAATACTTGCACAAGACTCAATAAAAGCATATGAAGTACTTCAAAACAGAGTAGCACACCAAATTTCATTAAAGGTTACAGCAAGTCCAATTCCTAGAAGATGAGCATAACTTTTTGAGCAAATCTGAATACCCCCTAACTGTCTCACACATCTTCCATGAGAAAGCAATGATCTCTCCAAATTATGCCCTGCATTTATCATACTGTATAAATCCACAAAAACACACCCTCATCTCTCACACTTTCTTTTGGCCATTACATCTTTGCTGCATTAGCTGCTTTACCTCCTGTCCCACTAATAAGCACATTCTACATATTATGAAGGACAGTATCACTGATCGAGGTCAGCAGCAGAGAAGCCACAAAAATACTGGGACTGGAGGTTCAGGATTGCTTTAAAGTAACATAAAGCACAAGCTCCACTCCTTTCCTTGGCTTTAAGCTCTCATGTCATTACTAGATTCCTGGAATCACAAAACAAGCCAGCTCAAGAAATCAATACCACCCAATTAAGAAAACTGATCACACATGCCATGCTTTGTACATGGAAACAAGGTGAGGGTGCAACCAAGGCTCTGCTAGAGCTGGCTCTTCAACCAGCACAAGACAGTGTGATCTGAAGCCCAGCTTCCAGCAGCAGCTGTAATACCTAATTCACTCTGCCATCTGCTTGAAGGGAAACTTGCAGAGCTGAGGGGGCTGATGATTACATTACCACTTGCTGGGCAAATCAGTAACAGTTGGCCAACACACACCTCAGTTCAGCTCACAAAAATATGAGCTACAGAAGCAGTTCTAATATATTATTAGAATAAGCTCAACTACCCAATTATATGTTCTTCTGAAATGATGCAGTAAACAGACATGGAAAGTCTGTTAGTCACTCACTTTCTCTTGAGACTGAGTCAGCTTCCCCTCCTGAGGGTCAAAGACACCAAAGATCTCAGCACTTCCACCCTAGAAAACAAACATTTCCATCAAGATACTGGAAATGTAGTTTTTAAATGAGTTTTAAAAATAATTCCTTCCCCCTGAATCATCCAAAGCTGCAGAACTGAGTTCTAAATCTGTCCCAAACTCATGCTAGTATACAAGCCTGCAGATATTCCTGGATTTTTGGCAAAAGAACAACACACAGCCTTAATAAGGCAGGCACTGCTATATTTACTCAGTCTCCACATTCACACTGCCCACCTTACTCTGTAGAACAGAAGACAGGTTTTAAAAAAAAGTAACAACGTAATTTGCATTTGCAGTAAACTAAATGAACAGTGTTAAATGCAGCTAAAAAAACCCATAAAAATAATAGTTATGCATTGCAAGTACTAAATGCTGGGAAAAAAAAAAATATCATGGATACCAGAGAGTTGTGTTTTCAAGGAATAGTCATATTCACAGTTAGGGACAGAATTTCATGAGGCATGAAAACACAGTGAAACTTCTGAAGAATCTGAGAGACTCTGCTGTGTTCTATGTAAAAACTGTCTTTGACAAAAGGGATCTGATGACTGCTTTTGAAAATACTGCCCTCAGTGTAACCCCTGAATGGGAAATAATCAACTGAAAGTCATATGTACTTCTGCTTAGTTTTGTAACACAAGAAAGTAATGACTACAACCGAAGAGAGACGCTGAAGCGTAAAATTGACTACTAAACCAGCTGTTTTCAGATGGCAGTGTAGGCGTTCACCACAGGCTGTCAATCAGGGTATCTCCTGTCTGAGGGCAGTTAGACAGAAAGGACAAATTCTACTCCTAAGGAGATGTTTTAGCCTTAACAGCCTAAGCAGTCAAACATAGTGACCCCTACCAGCACACCAGGCTCACTCACAGGTTTGGTATGGTGACGTGATCACAGCACAACCTGGACAGGATGACGTCTCTCTGGACGGGAAGGTCCCCATTAGACTGTTCCATCCTGGTCTTACTCGAACAGGCTGTGTGCATCCCGCAGCCTGCGAGGAAAAGAGACCTCCGTCACTCCAAACCACGAACAGGAGTCTGCCCTCACCCCAGGCAGCACTGCAGCAATGCCTGCCGGCAATCCCCGACAACTGTGGCGCAGTCCTTCGGGACGGGCTATGCCAAGGAAAAGGGCAGCAACGGGCGGGCCCTGGCGCACGCTCCCGTGGGCACCCCACCCCGGCGGGGCAGAAACGACGGAGCCCAGGGCCTTGCCCAGCACCCCAGGCGAGGCCCAC